AGTAGCACTTTGTCCTTTCATGCAAGTATCTTCCACAACAGAACAGGATACAGCTTCTTCCTGGTATGTGGTCACCATTTATTATCCAACGAATCTGAGACTAAAGCTGGAGAACAGCTCATGGGCCATGACCTAGAGACAGTTCAATTCAGTAGTTAGGGGAATTTCATGTGAAATCTGAGTTCTGTAGATAATTTCTTGGCATGGAATCAAACATCCTTTTCTCTTCTCAGTCCCCTTCAGAACAGCTCCTTATATCTGCATCAACCCACTCACCTTGCTTACAAAATGTAAATGCTTATTTCCTTCCCTCTCCTGCTTCTCAACAATGAAACAATATTACACATAAAAGAAGCTTATTGTGCCATGAAGCTGCAATCCATTTCAATGTCAATTGCACAAATCTCAAAACTAAAGCTCTCTTAAATCTCTCCAGGTTTGAAATTGCGATCAAGCCAGGAAATACTTTTGTTGCTGATTTAAAATCAATGTTTTGTATTTCATTTGAAGACTTTTAGCTTTATCTTATACTAATCTCTCTCGCATCTCCTACACTGGCACAGACAGGATAAATTGATTGACCATATCGAATAGATAGCTTAAAAGACAAGCTTTCACCCCTCTCACAGAATAACAGCAATTTCAACCCTGAAAGAAACAGTGCGGTAGCAGCTTCCCACTCCCTCCCATAGCACCTCTGTGCCTGCACCTGCCTGCCCAATTCCATCTCTGCATTGAAAAGTCCTTAGCAGAAGGGCCTGAAGTTTGCATGCTTCCACCTTTCATGCTGTGAATCTCCCTGCAAATTCTTCCTCTGATCGAACTGGCTTTTTCCTGGATTGTCTTTGAAAGTCTCTCTCTGCCCAGCTATACTTTAAGATGGCTACAAAGGCAAGGGCTACAAAAAAAACCCCAAACAACCAAAAACAAACAAACAAAACCCCCCAAAAGCTCATTGAGTCTACTATCGTTAATGTTCACTGATTTCACCACTGAGCTCTGGGTGACCCACTCTCGCCATCTGGCTCTTCTCACTCTTTTTTTGAAAGCCCGCTATGTACAAATAGTATGAGAAAAGGGCTGGGTTTCTACACACCTGCCAAATGCAGGTCCTGCACTTTCAACTGCCAGTACTTCATGTAACATGTACTGCACTAATCTGGGAACAAACAGATTTATTTAACAAACAAGTTCAACACAGGGATAAATCTGTCAGCCTTAAATCATCTGCCACCTCTCTCTAACAGAACAGGAGGCTTTAAGACTGCAGGATAACTTTCTGCTCAGCTGGTGCTCTAATGGACTGCGATTTTGGCTCTCACAGCAGAGAATCCCTACGAGGCTGAAAAATGTGTGTGTGTGTGTGTGATCTAACACACAGAGATGTTGAAGGTCACTGACTCCAGCAAACTTCCATTTTATTTTTTCCAGTTTTCTTCTGAAAGTTATTTTCCGTGCTCCTGTTTTATTTATTATTGGTCTGACCAGGTCAAATTGAAAAAGGTTGTATTAATGCCTGAGATGGAAGGATTTATTTTCAGAGAAAAAAATTAGAAGCAAATGATTTCTTCGCTAAGGAGTATAAGCACACTGAACTGTGATTGCCCTTCTCTGCCTGGGCTCAATTCCACAGGTCACATATCTACTGTATTCAGTACCAAAAAGATGGGTCCTGTGAAAAGGAAGGCTTTAATACTCTTTTCCTCCATGGCCTCTTACGTTCGGTGCTTCTCTGCCAGCATTCCCTTTCATGCATGCCTAGATTAGGACTGACCACAGCCTCCTAATCAAAACAGCACTGGAGGTGTTAGAGCTGCCTACTGCATCACAAAACGCCACTATAAAGCTTCTCTTTCACTTCCTCCTGACTGCTTCTTTCCCTAAAAAGGCCTGAAGAGCAATCTATTTTGTGATTTTTCAGCCAGCAGATTCATCTCAGTACTTGTTCAATTTTGACAGTTCTCCATATGAGTTTGAAGCAACGTATCTTGTTTGTTCGTCACCCCTTTGAAATGACGTTCATTTCTGTAGCTGCACTTTGTCTAAATTGGAGATGATAACAGCATAAACCCATTGTGGTTTACACTGAAAGAATAAACCCCTCATTTATACTTCAGATCTGTGTCCGAATACACCAAGATTAATACTATATAAAGCTCATCCTGTGGTCAAGCAAGCATGGGCTTAGCCATCATTCTCACCTAGTTCAGACAGTAGCTTCATTTCAGCTTCTAACAAAAGCACTGCTGATAATTTTTACTATTTACTTTCCTTCCTCCACTTCTCTTCTGAGTTTCCCAGGTTAGCCTGTCTCAGTCTATTCTCATGCAACAGAGAAGCTAAGTGTTTCAGAAAGCAGGCTTTCTAGCTGCTTTGATCATTCTTTCTTTCTCAATTATATTATTTAAATGCAAGTTATTGATCATTATAATACCCTCATAAAATGTAAGATGGAATGTTATTTTACAGATACCAGCCATGAAAGTATTGCAATAACAAGTAACATGGCAGGTTTTCATGACACTTTTCTAGATATTCCTAGCCATTACATTCTGCATTCGGTTAAATTTAATGTAGAGAGGATGTGCGTTCAAATATACCCTGATGAACACATTTTCTGGGACGTAAACAGTAGCACAATTACAAAATCTTCCCTGTTTACTCTAGAAAGTATGCTTAGTGCTGCTGCTCCCTAGTTTTTAACTTAAGTCCAGAACAGACTCTTCAGATAACATTCCTTTTCAACAGCATACCTTTTAAGAAGTATTTTTGTTGCCGATTTCTCAGCTTCTATGGCATAGTTAGTAAGTGTTCCTTAAAGTGAGCCTAAAAATAGTTTTCTAATATTTACGTAGAGAAGAGCACAAAATCATGAAAAATACCACATGCATGGATAGCTCAGGGCATACACATCTGCAGTGCTTTTTATCTTCCCCCATGGTGGACAGCTACTCTTCTCTGTACTATTAAAGCTGCTATTTTTAGGCCTTTAATTGAAAGAGTCCAATTTAAAATAGTGCATGCCAACTATATTGTAGATATTTCCTCAAAGATAGTACAAACACAAACCACAGATAGCACAAAATTAAAAGAACATTAAGTGCCTAATGTATTTGGTACCATCTGACCTGATCAAACCTGTGTTACAGGAGTCTTTAGTTAGCTCACTAGTGAAAATACAGATATAGCTACAGGTGTTCATGCAGTTCTCAAGGAAACTGAATTAAAAGAAAAACTAAAACACACAAGGACTAAAGGAGAGAGCAAAAATATATTCCCTGTGGCTACATGTCAGTCAAGGATTTGTACAGAGATTTAATTGATTTTGAAAAGCAGGTAGTCAGACATCAATTAAAAGTAGATATATTAGACAGCTAAGTAGTGAGTTGGTTATCTAACATTCTACTTGTTAAATAGGATAACCAAAAGATTTAGAAGGGCTTTCTGTGTATATGAAGGCACCAGCAGAGATACATTACAAGGAATCAGCAAGCTAAACTCACCCATCAAACCTAATATTTATGAAATAATAATCATTGGCCCAAGCTTTATACATGTTTTTGCCAAAACACCCCATGGAACTGAAAGTATTTGTTATACCAATGCAGCCCACTAGAGGTCAAGTTACATCGAGCAGTTTCTTATATATTACTAGAACCATCTGGGTTGCCACATGTATCACAAAATGACAAGTCCTTTAGAACTTTTGGTTAGAATTAAAAAATCTCATAATAGGATGGTTGGCTTACAGAGATACAAAACAGATTAAATAATTGTTCCCATAATCCATTAATTAGATGGATTGGATTATTAGATTGGAGAAGTTTTCCTTAACAGAGTACCATGGTATAAAGATTGCTAGCTCGGTTTTAGACTACCTGCTTGAAAATAGTGAAAATGGCAAGCTGAACTAGAAACAAAACCTCAAGACTTTATACCAGTTTTCTATACTGTTGATATGACAGAAGAACTTTAATGCAAAGAGATACTTTTGCATCCCTCTGTGTAAAAGACACTTAGTATCACACATCTGATCATACAGCAGGACTATATCAGAATCTTAGAAAACAAAACAGATATAGGTAAATATATATATAAAAATACAGGAGAGATATATATATAAAAAAATACCACCTTGATAAAAATGGAAGAACTCCATGTCTAATCACAAATCCTATAATAGCACATTGTGAATGCAGAAAGAATGCCTTAGGTTATAATGGTTTCCAAACATTTGATTTTGTGAATGTGCGATGTCCAAATACAAATGAAATATATTTCATGAATGCCTATCCTCTGTGCAATAGCAAGGCTCAGTGTAATAGTGCTGTCAGTCTGCTTTGTAAAGCTCCAATGTAAACTTAATTTACCTATTTCCCATGTCATTCTTTCATCCACTTGGAGAAAGAGAAATGTTTGCAATCACAGCCTTCTGGCTACTAAACAGTTTCTTGGCACGTAGGTAGCCTGTAATTTGAAGCAGCTTTCCAGCAGAAAGCCACTTAAAATTTTACAGGCAATTATATCAGCTAAGATGATGTCCCAAGACCAGGGTAAAAGAGATGAGTGGTGAAAAACTGTGTTTGTCCCCCTATTTCTGTGAGGAACCACATTAAAAAAAACCCATAAAGGGCAATTTTTGCCTTCCACTTCCGTACAGGAAGGAGGCCCTCAATGACTAGTCTGCATTGTTTCTGCAGTTACCCTCTGAATCCTTCAAATTAAATTGCAAGTTGTATGTTGTATTTCCTGGACTACCATGAAGATTTCCAGAATTAGTGTCAGCCTAAAGTTCACAGTATATAACCCACAGCCACTGGATTAAACTGTTTTCACCTAGTCTTTCTGCTTCACTAGCTCCAGATGCTTCACTCATCTTCCATTGTGTTTGTAACTAAGGTGGCATAAGGAAATTGCACACAGAACAGCGGTCTCTTTGGATTATGTGCTAAAAGAATCAGCGTTCCCAAAAGACTCAGAATTGTTTTACTAGATCTCACCTCCTCAACCATGTGCTTGACTTTCTTCTGTTGGCAGTGGACCATATCATCCAGATGTTTGATTCGCTCTCTTAGGCTAGCTGCTACCTCCTCCAAATGCTGTGACCTAGCAGAACATAGAAGAATTGAGCACGTAAGTGGGGAGCTATGCAGTACAAGCAAAAAACAACCCCTACAATACCACCATAAATCAGGAAGACTAGGTCAAGAGGTAGGCAAGTCAAATTCTGCTGATAACTGTCAATTTGTCCAAAGTACATTTTAATGGTAGTCTTTTAGTCAAAGTGGCTGTCTCCACCCAAGTTAACTCACCTTTGTCTTGCATACTGGTGTGCTTACTCAGAGCCTGAAGTGCTGACAATTAAACAATGTGACAAAGCTCATCTCCTTAAGATGTCTATCTTTCCCTGAAGTGAAAGGCATTTAGACAACTAGCTCTTTATCATCAGAAAGACACATTTATCCTGACTTATTACCACCTGCAAACTTTTTGGAAATATATACTAAATAAAAGCCAGGAAGCTGGCGTCCTTTTAAAAGCTCTCCTACTACAGGGAAGCCTTGAGTCAAGGATTTGGCATAGTTGCCAACAGTAGCAGAATGCTAACTGGAGTGAAAGGCATTTAGACAACTAGCTCTTTATCATCAGAAAGACACATTTATCCTGACTTATTACCACCTGCAAACTTTTTGGAAATATATACTAAATAAAAGCCAGGAAGCTGGCGTCCTTTTAAAAGCTCTCCTACTACAGGGAAGCCTTGAGTCAAGGATTTGGCATAGTTGCCAACAGTAGCAGAATGCTAACTGGAGTGGTTTTGAATTGTTGTGGATGTTTTAAGTTTGTATGTATGACTCTTTAGACAGATTCTGCATTTCTTCAAATCTGTTTAACACAGAAATTGAACACCCACAGAACTCCTACCACAAGTTGGTTTGAAAGTTTGCCAGAAAAGTAGTTTTAGAATATGCAAAGAAACAGGAGGGAAGCTTTTTAATAAGTTTTTGGCATGTTGGCCATGGGAGCTTCCATTTTTATCTGAATGTACAATTCTTGAAATTCTTCAAAGAAAGCGATCGCTTGCTTACAAAATAAACTTCTGTACTCCTGGGTTCAGGACTGCACAGAATTTGAGAAGTGGAGGAGGGGAATCAAAAACAAAAAGGCTTTTTTCCTCTTGGTTTGTGCACAGCCAAAAAAACTGTTGAAGCTGCAAATAGAACAACCATTCTAAGGCAAAGTAGCAGATGGCAAACTGTATGACATGATTCCAATGAATGACTGAATTGAATGCTGTTTCCTCCCAGAAAGAGTCTCTATTAACAGTGAAGTACTCTACAGACTGTAACAGCGGCACTTTGACAAGGACTCAAAAAAATAAAGGCATTGCTGCAGGTTTTTCAATCCTGCATATTAAGGTCTCACAAAACCGCAATTTACATTTTAATTGCAATGGTAACACATATTTGGTCTCTCATTGAAAGATTCAGAATTTTAAGCACTAATAGCAATGGAACAGAGGTCCTTCCTCAGGTGGAGCTCAAGTGTCTGGTCAGGTACAGACAGGTAAAGAGAACTTAAGAACAGACTTTAGCATCTGAACACAGATTCATTGCTTGCATTGCATAGATTGCAACTGTGTGCTTGCTTGCATTACACAAATTCCTGTCTGAACATTGCCTTTACCCTTTTTACTGCAGCATAACTTTTCATGCTGAGTGGAAAGGGGAGGATTCACTGAAGCAAGAAGAGTATCTGTTATCCAGAGGTAAAGGAAAAAAGCAATTATCTTTCATCTCCATATTCCATGTTATATGCGACATCTGTTCACTTTAAATTATTATTTTAACAGGCTGCTGTGAAAAGCCGTTATTACCCTGAAACCGGATAAGCTGGTCACAGATCAATACAACTAGGCAGTGAGATTCTCTTACAGGGACCTCCTTTTATGTTTATGTTTCCTACAGAACAGCAGGATGCCAAAACCTTAAAACTGAATTTCTGGGTGCCACAGAAATTTAAGTACTAATCAAGTACAATTATACAGTCTCTGCTTATAATTGATATTTAGCCACTGAAGTAATGTCATATAAACCTTTGAGTGGTGGATACAATTTTCACTGGAATGGCAGTTACGCTATTTCAGTGCTGGATAGATTTCTCTTGAAACTTTGCCTCTGGCTTTGCTTGAAGCTTTCTTTTGCCTGGTCATGGTGCTCTGTCAGTCTCAAAGTAGTAGTAACGGATGCACATGCCACCTGTGGGCAGAAACAGCACATCCAGGTGCCACCACACCACTAGATCTTTCTTCTAAGCTTCATGCTTTCAAGAACAACCATTCACAGAGGTCTCACTGCCAATAATATCACCCTCACTTTCCCCAAATAACTTCATAGCTTATTTCTGCACCGTGATGCTACGTGACAGATTTCTTCCACATGTTCATTTTGTTCATGTGCATATGTTAATGCGCACCACATGTGTAGACCTCCCCTTCAAGCCTCAAATATATTCCCCACTTTCCCTCTTTTATACAAAAAAGACACCTCTGGCAGTTACATGCAAAACTCTTGTTCTTTTCAAGAGTTCATCTTTTCAAAGGGGATGTCCTATAGCTTAATACAGGATACAGAATTCTTTTCTTTTTAAACTCTGTTGAGCAGTCTAGAAGGAGATAATGAAAGTATTCATAGTCAGGATCATACTGTGCTGAATTTGGGACTGCAGATTTTAAAAAAATGCAATCCACAAATACGTCACAACTTGTTCCACCTAAAATGTACTCTGCATATTTGCAAACAACTTTTCAAGAAAGATGCTGTGCTGGTTTTGACTGGGATAGAGTTAATCTTTTCTATAGTAGCTAGTATGGGGCTATATTTTGGATTTGTGATGAAGAGAGTGTTGATAACACAGGGATGTTTTAGTT